AGAGAGAGAGAGAGAGATAGAAAATTACAAAAATAGTCAAATCCATCGCAGTGTCATTTGACCACAATACAAGAAAACTATTAAGGTTCATTATCTTTCACGCTAATATTATAAGACATACTTTCACATTACAAAATATATCCAAAATCAATACCAACAAGAGACCAACTCCCCAATCATATCATATACTTTTTAAGTAGTACAAAATAAATGTGCTTGTTACACATAAGAAAATAGAAAAATAGAAATTGTTGCATACACCATAAGGCATCAACAATTCAATCTTGAATGATCATTTGTTCTGGCTTGACCATGAGATGCTATTTTGATACTAGTGATTGATTCCTTTGTTATATATTATAATGCAACAAGTTCACATTGTAGTTCATCATTTTTATCTATGTAAAAAGTTTGTATAGACTTGAGGCTCTAAACAATCAAATTAATGCCCACTAAAAAATTTCATTAGAAGACGTTATTTTGATGCTCAAATATCCTCAAGTTGATCATCTCAAAACCTAGATGCATGGACATGAGAAAAAAAATTGGATTTGAAGTTTTGGAAATAATGCATCTTGCAACGCATTTTTTTACCGTCAATTTTCAAGATTTTCAAGTTTTCATATATCTACTCGATCCACACTATTTTTGAAGCTTTAAATTTTATAATTAAAGATAAAAGTATATTTTAAGGCTATCACGAAGATTTTCAGTATTGAAACAATATTTCTTGACACTATTTGAAGGCGTGTTTTACTTTAATTGTTTAGAGCCTCAGCTCTATACAAACCACACCCTCTATCTATTCATAGCATCATTGAAAAATGTACAATCTCAACACCAATACTACATTCTTTAGGGTTGGATGGGGAACTTGATGTACTTACTTAAAATGGTAAATGGCAACAAGGACATTTATGCATGTGAATCCTCCGTTATTTGTGGAAGTTGATGACATTCTGACTAGTTAAAAGGTCATAATCTACATCTAATTTCCATAAGAAGGAAACAAATCACATTAACTAATCTAGTTTCATAGTAGCCAACATTTTATATGAGTTGTTACAACTGATTACTCTTATAGGTTCACTAACTTAAAATGCTACTAGGTGTCACCAACATTCATAATCAGTAGCATGGGCATCAATAGCATGGGCAATAGTAACAAGCATCAAATATAAACTATGGATACATTAATGGAAAAATAGCATACATAAGAAAAGTCACTAAAATCATTAAATTTCGACACAAGCTATAAAGACACCAACTGAAGAAAAATAACAAGCACACAAAAAGATTAAATTATTTCCTTGAGAACCTCTCATGATTGCTGTTGCCATCCACCTCAAATTATTTCAAGTTTTGAAGCTCTCCTATTGTTAAACAGATGCTCCCACCAAGTAAGTCTACTTGCTCTCATATTATTGCCAATTGAAGCCACACCTAACAGTGGGAGAGCTTCGAAACTTGAAATAATTTCAAAGACAGTATTAGAGGCTAAGAACGGTAAGGGTGTGTATTATAATATCATTAACCTTTGGTATAAGAATGTCACACCTCGTAATTACTTATAGTTACCAGACATGAAATAAGGCATCCAATGGTGTATCATAGTGTTAGATTTGCTTTTTTAGGCAACAAGCATGATCAATAGTTAGTGGAAGGATGATAATGGATAGGGTGTTAATTGCACAAGAGTGTATTCATGTTAGGACTGTTAGTGGGATCCTCGGGTTTCTCTTTAAGCTAGACATGAAAAAAGCTTATGATCGAGTGGAATGTGGAGTTCTAGATGAGATTATGTATCAAATGGGTTTCGGGTCTCGGTGGAGAAAGTGGATCTCAAGTTGTTTATTGTCTACACATTTTTCTGTTTTGGTTAATGGTAGCCCTAAAGGCTTCTTCAAGATTTCTAGAGGAATAAGACAATGGGATCATCTTTATCTTTTTCTATTTACTCTGGTTGGTGAGGCTTTTAGTCTTGTGATTAATAATGTGGTGAGGAATCAAGGTTTTTCTGAATTTGAGATAAATTCTTCAGGTCTTCGTATTTCTCACCTTCAGTGTGCACATGATATATTACTTTTTTGTGGGGCTGAGTTAAATCAAGTGTTTATTATCAGAAGGATCTTGAGATGCTGTGAAATGGCCTTGGCTATTAAGATTGATTTCTTAAAAACATCAACTATTGGAGTTGCTTGCTCTACTTAAATGGTAAAATCTTTGGCAGATGTTATGAGATGTAAAGTGGAAATTTTTCCAATAAAGACATTTGGAAATGGAATATACCTCATAAGGTTCAAGTCTTTATATATATTTTGGCTCAAGTGAAAGTTTTAACCGTTGATAATCTTCGAAAAAGGGGAATGTTGATTGTGAATGTGTCTATTTTGTAAAAGTGATGGGGAATCAAATGACAACCTTTTTATTCATTGTTTGTATTCATACAATTTGCGGTGTTGGGCTACGCAAATGGTAGGTTTCTCTCTTGCTCTTCCATCATCAGTTTTTCACTTTGTTTTTCAATTTAAACTTTGTCGTATCCCCAAGATTGGAAGTTTGTAATGGGACATATTTCGGGCAGCAATTTTGTGGGAACTTTGGCTTGAGAGATATAGGTGGACGTTTGATAGTGTGATTATGGAATTGGAGGCTTTAAAAGTTAGAATCGTTTTCCGTGTATGGAGTTGGTTTGCTATTACAAAGGACGGTTGGGGGGTTTTTTGTGTGGATGTTCATCAAAATTTGGCTCACTTGGTTACTTTAAGGTTCCTTAAAGTTAGGTCAAGAGGTGTTTGGGTGTCCCCATTTGCAGGTTGTTGGAAATTGAATTTTGATGAATCATCGATAGGAAATCCAGGTGCGCCAGGGATTGGGGGGGTTTGTAGAGATGATGAAGGAGCTATTACATTTTGTTATGCTAGCTCGTGTGGTAATGCTACTGCTAATTTTGTAGAATTGGTGGCTCTTCTTCATGGTCTTATCTTATGGCGTGAGAAGAAATTAGGGAATGTATTGATAGTTGAAGGGGATTCAGCTAATGTTATTAATTGGTGTAATAATATAGCTAGAGTCCCTTGGGGTATATGTGGCTGTAAATTAAAGAGATATCGTTGGAAGGTATTGTTAGCTTCCAACATGTCTATCGTTGGAAGGTATTGTTAGCTTTCCATCTAATAATATTTCATACTCTTGTCCAAAAAAAAAAAAAGCATACTCCCAACCACCTGAATTTATTTCCAAATTTCAAAAATGATTTTGATCTTTGGTACTTAGTATGTATTTCTTATTGTATACCTTTCATAATTCTTACTTGTTGCTTTTTGAAGGAGATGGTTACAAAAATTCACTAAAGTTATTATTGTTTACTTACCATCTTGTTTTTGAAAAATTCAACTCATGTACATTGGGGGCTTCAGCGTGTCCTAGATAAAGTAAGTGGTGTACATGAAATGTTCATATGTAGGGCTGGCAAAGGCCAGCCTGACTAGCCAAAGTGGCCCCTAGCCCAGGCTCGACCCCACCTCTCAAGGCAAGGTGAGGCTAAAAAAATTAAAAGAAATAGAAGGAAAAATAGAGAAAAATGAGGGCCAAACCGGGGTGGCGTTGGCACTAGCCCGACCCTAGGGCCACATTTTGTGGCTTAGGCTCGGGCTGATCGAGTCGGACCACTTGGTCCATTTTTACTTTTAATTCATAAGTGTGTTCGATATTGGAAAATTTGGAAAGTGGATATTGGAAAAGAAAAGGATACAATATGACCATTTATGTTTGGTGCATAAAGATCACAGTTGATCTTGACCATTGTATGCAAAATTGGGCAGATGCATTCATTCTATTGACTAGGCTCAAAGTTTTAAAATAAATATTTTAAAAATTGTAACATACCCAAGCTGTCATATTTTAAATCGGATTGTTATAAGTAATTATAATCTTCATGTACCAAAAGTAAATAATAATGCACATAAAGAAGATATCAAAGGCGAGAAAGGTAGGTCAAGAGTTATGGGCACTTTCGTCATTTTACTATAGAGGCTTTGATCTTCATTCCTAAGGTTTTCAGAATTTCGACTTCCAAGACTTCCTTTTGTTAACAAAAATTGTAACATGTGTCCTCAAGGGCAAGATGGTTCTGCTTGATATAGCTTTCTAAAAATTCCTCATCTGTCCCTTGTAGCAGCAATAGTCTTTAAAGCATCCCATCCCTCTATGGTGGTCCCTTTCAAGGGCATTCTCGTCCCATAAGGGTAATTTCGTCTTGTCCATACTGTGAGGGCCTAGAAGGAATTAGCACATATCATGGGGACAAAAGAGGCCTCATTATTTTTGTCATCTCACTTAAAAAGGGTTGTATTAAGAGAGGGAAATCATCTATAACCTGAACTTCAAAATTATGGCGCGGAGTCAAAGTTCCCGCCAAACAATCCCCAAAACCCTCCCTCTACTCTCTTCCTCTATAAGAGTTTTTCTTCTCTCTCTAACAATCTATAGAACTCTCTCTCACTAAAAATTGCTGAGTTCTTCATTCTTCTTTGCCTTTGCAACTTTCAGAAATCTCTCTCTCTACTGATCTATAGGCTTCTATGCCTGTCGATCCACGGGCTTTCTCTCTCTAAGGCTTGTTGGGTTTGTTCAGTGCCTCTGCAACTGAAAAATACACAGAGAAATGGCGGAATCTATAACCCATGGAGCCATTTCCTCTATTCTCTCAAACCTGTCACCTGATTCTTCGACCTCATTACCAGAGATCGTGATCCAGGTCCTCGATCTTAAGCCTGTTGGTAACACCAACTCACGGTACACGTAAGTGCTCTTCCCAGTTTTATGTTTCAGCTAAATCTATCTTTTGAGTTTTTTTTATTATTAGAATTTCATGGCATTTCCCTGGGTGTATTGTTTTGCTCATTATTTTTAGATTTATTCATGATAAAAAATAGATCATTTTTTTTTGTTCTGGTTTTTTCTATGTTTTGTTTGCTCGGAGTGAGATCTGTGTGCTGTTTTTCATTGCTTGATGCTGTGTTTATTATAGTTTTATGAAAGTTTTTGGGCTCTTGTTTTGTTCATTATTCTCGGATTTATTGTATTCTCACTAGTTTTTGCTATGATTTGTGTATTTTGGACCAAGATCTGTGCTTTTGCGGTCTGCTGCAATATGCTTATGGGCTTTTTGCTCTATGAGGCCTAAGTTTAGTCTGGTTTCTTTTCGAGATATGATAAATTTGACGGGTTCTTCAGTTCTATCTGTAAACTCTCTCTCTCTTTCACAAATGGTTTATTTTGCATTCAGATGAGTTTATGGTTCAGTAATCCCTGATAAAAAGTACTGTTTCCGTCAATTTTACATGTATTTTCCCTGGAACAGGTATTTGATCGTCTATTTCTGCATATTCTTCTGCAATACTAATTTTACTCTCTCTCTCTCTCTCTCTACCCAAAAAAGGCATGAGTAAAACAAAAAAAATGTAGTAACTTTTACTTTCTTTTCCTACTTGGTTCTAACTTTTTATTTTCTATTTCCCTTTCTATTTTTAAAGTTTGTGTACT